AAAATCACATGATTAATCAATATCATATGATATAAAATTTAAGGTTATATTTTTTTAGGGTAATAAAATTATACCTTTAATTTTGGTTCATCTTCAAAAATAATTACCCAAATAAATAAAAATAATAATCTTATTTGTTAAAATTGTAAATAAATATTAATTGTATTTATATCTGTATATAGATTTAAAATAAAAGTTAAATAAAATAACCAATAAACAAATAATTTTGGCTTCAATTGATTGGTTGTGAAAATGATTTAAGTTTAACCGAGTTATACTAATTCCAGCCGAACCACCTACAATAATCTATTAAAATTACTTCAACTTTTCAATCAAATATATTCTAACTTTTCAATTAAATTCAATACTTTCATGACTTAAAATTTTGATTTCAATGTTATTATTTATATGGAAAACCTGATTAATATGAGCCTCTTTATAATGAACACTGGATAGAACAAACTTAGATTTTCTAAATTTTATATTGGTTCGTTATAAAAAATATAATATTTTTTATATAAAATTTGGTAATTTTATGTATATAACGAACTTTTTTTTTCTAGCAAAATCATGAGTTCGTTATAAAAAGACTATATTTAATCAATCTTGTGAACTATAATTTTAAAAATAAATTCTATTGAAAACTCATTATCTCGTTTAGTATATGAGGCTAAATTACTAATTAACATGCCAAACGAGGAATACGTGATTCAAATTAAATCAATCTTACCATAAGAAAAGCGTATGATGTCATGTAATTATAAAAGGACTGATTCAATTGAATCAATTTTTTTAACTTGGAATGAGACCAATAATAATAATACCATTAAATAAAATACTGTAAACGGATCCTTAAATAGTGTTGAGTATCAATATATGTTTTTTTTAATTTTAGTCACCGGTTACCTCCTTAAATACTTGTCGAACGATCACATGATAATATTTTGGCACTCGATTAGGTTAGAAGCGCATAAATCGCGCAATTTGCTCATGTACTCACATCAACACCTAAACGTGGACGCGCATCACTAGCAGATTAAGAAAATCCGCATTTATGACAATCACATTAGAATTATTAGAATTGCATCATTTTCATCCAATGATTTCCTTAATTAATTCTATATTTGGGAACTATAAAATTCATATAGGTATTTAACGTATTGTTATAAATACAGTATCGTATCTAAGAATTTGTACTTAATTGACTGACCTTCTTCGAAATTATTGATCTTCTCTCGTTATTGTTGTTTATTTAAAAAAAGAAAGAAAAATATTTCATGCCTCAAGAGATCATTCCTTCGGAAGAAAACGATGCAGTTAACCATAAATCTAAATCACGTGTCAAAAGTTTTGGGATGGGTAAGTACAAAATTATGTTCATATCACGTGAACATTACTACATATATATGCATTTAATTTTCTAGGTATATTTTTCCGCATGGTCGATTAGTTTTTATCCTCAGGTCATATTAAATTGGCGGAGAAAAAGGTGAATAATAACAGAATTCGATGGAATAAATTTCAAGAGACTAACTATTATTTTTTTTTTTAGTGTACAGGGTTTATCAATAGATTTTCTTTGGTATAATGTATATGGGTTTGCATGTTATTCGGTATGTTAATTAGCATTTTTCAAAGTCATTTTTAAGACCTAATTTTCTAGTAAGTTTAATTAATTACACTCACCCAAAATTATGGCAAAAAGGTATTCAATCTCTCATTTTTCATATCGGAAAAAATTCGACAAGAGTATCGCGACCATAATGATGGAAAAGATAACCTTGTTCAAATGAACGATGTGGTCTTTGCTTTACATGCATTACTATTGAGTTCGATAACTTTACTTCAAACATACTTCTACAAGGTAATGTTTCTTTCATGAAAACTACTTGATATATTTAAATAAACTAATTTTGTTCACCTTTTTTTTTATAGAGGGATGCAAATCAGAAAGTATCCTCCGTAGCACTTTCAGTTATATTGGCATCTACTTTTGGAGCAATCTTATTGTTTGCAGGCGTACTATCAGGAATAAATCAATGGATCGATCTTCTATATTTTATAAGTTATATTAAATTAGGCCTTAGTTTTATTAAATATGTACCTCAGGTATGAATATATATTTTTTTTCATTATCACAATTCTCTTTTTTTTCTTTAATTATATCACGCGATCAATGTTTTGACATTATTATCTACACGTTAACTAGTTATATTTGAATTTCGAAAGAAAATCCACGATCGGATGGAGTATTCACAATATTATTTTAGATTTCACCGGTGGTATGTTGTCGATCGTTCAATTGGCACTAGATGCTTATGCCACAAATAATTGGAACGGAATATTGGGATACCCCGTAAAGCTGTGAGTACTTTAATTTAAACCTGTAATTGTTGTCATTTTTTTTAATTAAAAATTGCTGAGATCATTTTCCTTCCAAAAAATAGAGGCCTTGGTTTTCTTAGCATGACATTTGACATACTATTCATGACTCAACATTACATACTATATCGAACAAGTGGTGATCGCAAGTGTTATAGTAAAAGTATTGATTGCATTGATGATGTTGATATTGTGGAAGAGGAAGATGTGCAGAATAGTATTTTTAATTGGGAAAGAGAAAGTTTGCTATCTAGTAATAAGAATAATAATACAATCAGGAATTATGTATAGATATAATATCTGCATTAGAGGTTTTGGCATTTTGTTAATATTTAATTTAAAAAATAGAACTCAAAGTAAATAGTTATATACATATATACATTATAATAAAATAAAAGAATAAATTTATAATCAATATATTATACACTAAACATAGCAAAATGTCAAACAGATTTTTTAATACAAGTATTCGAATACATATACAGTATATTTATTTATTTAATAAAATAGTATTATTTATAATAACGAATTTAATATTTTTAATCAATATAATAAAAGCACATAAGAGAATGTCGTATTATAACTCTTTTCATTTATTAAAATATTCTTTTGATACACTTTGTTTAAAAAAGTTTTTAGATAAACATTTTTTTAATAAACAAACAAATATTTATTTATTTAATATATAAAACTAAAAATATATTTTTTTAGAATATAAAAATAAAACATTAAGTTTTTTTAAATAGTTTAATAAATTTATTTTAAATATTAATTATCAAGTTAAAATTTTTAATTAAAACACTTTTAATAACATTTACATATATAATTATAAATAAAAAAATAAATTTTTACTATATATAATCAAAAAAATTTCATAATATACAAACTAATTTTATAAAAATTATTTTATTCTTTCTTTTACAAAATTTTACTTAACTTAATTATTTATTAATAAAAATTATTAATTAAATTATTCTTTTTATTAATGTTAACAATATTAAAATTTTGATTTAATTTATTAATTACTTATCAAATTACAAATAAATAAAAAATTGTTGAAAAACTTTTTATACAAATATATATTTAAAACCTAATTAAAAATTATTTTAGGTTAATTAATTATATATATAATTATATATAAAATATAGTTTTAAAAATATTATTTTATATCATTGTTTAATTATAAAACTATTAAATTTTAATAATAATTATTATTTAAATAAAAAACTTTTTTTATTTAATTAAAATAATTATAAAAAATAATTATTATAAGTTTATCAATTATTATCTAATAAATTTATTTTGCAAAATAGTAAAATATTAATAATTTTTTTATAATAAAAAATTTGTAAATATTATAAGAGTTTTTTTTTTAATATAATTTTAACAATATCATTATGTAATAATTTTTTTTAAATAATTTTAATTTTTAATTTATAAATAAACAAATAAATTAATTTTATAATATTTTACAAATTGTTTATTAATCATAAATCAAAATAGAAATTTAAAATCAATATAATAATTATATAATTAATTAAGTTATTAATAAAAT